AATCTACTTCCCCGAAAATCGATAATCTACCGAAAAGTGAAAATCTATCTACTTTTCGAGTAGATAATTTTCAAGTAGATATTTTGTTTTATGATACAAATTTCCGTTTTCTATGATAATCTACTTCGCAAAATTGGGTAATATTTCCCCAAATTCGAAAATCTACTTCCCCGAAAATTCGATAATCTACTCCGAAATTGAAAATCTGTCTACTTTTCGGGAAGTAGATAACAACTTTCGGAGGTAGATATTTCCAGTTTTATGATCGAAATTTCCGTTTTCTGTGATAATCTGCTTCGCAAAGTGGTGTAATTTTCCCCAAAATTCGAAATCTGCTTCGAGAAAAGTCGATAATCTCTTTCCGAAAATGAAAATATCTACTTTTTCGGGAAAGTAGATAACTACTTCGGTAGTATTTCCGATTTTTTGGATGCAAATTTCCGTTTTCAATAATCTACTTCGCAAATTAAAGAATATTTCCCAAAATTAAATCACTTTCGAGAAAAGTCGACAATCTACGAGTGAAAATCTACTAGGAAGTAGATATATTTCGGAAATAACTTTTTTATGATACTTTCCTTTCATGATTCTACTTCAAAATTTGTTATTTCCTCAAAATTAAATCTACTTGAGTCGATAATCTACTTTTCGAAAAGTGAAAATCTATCTACTTTTTAGGAAGTGACAACTTTCGGAAAGTAGATATTTCCGTTTTTATGATACAAATTTCCGTTTCTGTGATAATCTACTTCGCAAAATTAAAGGAACTATTTCCCCAAAGTGAAATCGAAAGGGATCACTTCGAAAAGTGAAATCTATCTACTTTTCGGGAAAGTAGATAAATAACTTTCGGAAATAGATATTTCCCCATTTTTATGATACAAATTCAGATAATCTAAGAATTGGGTAATATTTCACAAATTCAAAATCTACTTCCGAGGTCGATAATCTACTTTCACGAAAGTGAAAATCTATCTACTTTTGGGAGAATAGTCCTTTCGGAAAGTGGATGTTTCCCGTTTTTATGATACAAATTTCCCGTTTTCTATGATAATCTGCTTCCAAAATTAGGTATTACAAAATTCGGAAATCTACTTCGAGAATTGATAATCTACTTTCGAAAGAGTGAAATCTATCTACTTTTCGGGAAATTAATAACCCTTTCCGGAAAGTAGATATTTCCGTTTTTTATGATACAAATTTCCGTTTTCTATGATAATCTACTTCGCAAAATTAGGTAATATTTCCCACAAAATTCGAAACTACTTCGAGGAAAGTCGATAATCTACTTTCGAAAAGTGAAAATCTATCTACTTTTCGGGAAAGTGAATAACCACTTCGGAAAGTAGATATTTCCGTTTTATGATACAAATTTCCGTTTTCTATGATAATCTACTTCGCAAAATTAGGTAATATTTCCAAAATTCGAAAAAATCTATCCCGGAAAGTCGATAATCTACTTTCCCGAAAAGTAGAAATCTATCTACTTTTCGAGGTAGATAACCAACTTTCCCGGAAAGTAGATATTTCCTGTTTTTTATGATACAAATTTCCGTTTTCTGTGATAATCTACTTCGCAAAATTAGGTAATATTTCCATAAAATTCGAAAATCTACTTCCGAGAAATCGATAATCTCCCGAAAAGTAGAAAATCTATCTACTTTTCGGGAAAGAACCAACTTTCCGGAAAGTAGATATTTCCTGTTTTTGTGATACAAATTTCCTGTTTTCTATAATAATCTACTTCGGAAAATTAGGTAATATCAAAAGTCGATAATCTACTTCCCCAAAAGTCGATAATCTACTTTTCGAAAGATAATCTACTTCGGGAAAGTAAATAATCAACTTTCGGAAAGTAGATATTTCCCATTTTCTATGATAAAAATTTCGTTTTCTATGATAAGTAGATAACCAACTTTCCCCAGAAAGTAGATATTTCCCATTTTCTGTGATACAAATTTCCGTTTTCTATGATAATCTGCTTCGGAAAATTAGGTGATATTTCAAAAGTCGATAATCTACTCTCAAAGTCGATAATCCACTTTTTCGAAAAGTAGATAATCTACTTTCGGGGAAAGAGATAACCAACTTTCCCGGAAAGTAGATATTTCCATTTTCTGTGATAAAATTTCCTGTTTTTATGATAGTAGATAACCAACTTTCCCAGAAAGTAGATATTTCCCATTTTCTGTGATACAAATTTCCGTTTATGATTATCTACTTCGGAAAATTAGGTAATATTTCCCCAAAAGTCGATAATCTACTTCCCCAAAAAGTCGATAATCTACTTTCCAGAAAAGTAGATACTTACGATCTTACCATTCTTTCCTTTGGAACCCTTTTGTTTTCAACTTTTTTATTAGGATTATTATAAAGAAAGAAAAACTATTTTTTCATTTATACGACACATTGGGTTACTATACAAATATTTATTGTAATGATTGACACCAGGTTACTGCTAGGTTAGGTTGCCCTTATGGTACTGTGGGTATGAGATGTTTGGTTCACACTCAGGATGGGATGGAGAAAGGAAACTCACAATGTGCTCTCTATATACATGTTGTATTGGATGTACAATGCAGCTTGGTGCTGGGAAGGCAGCATGGTTACAAGCGTGATGTAGAGAGAGCTGGTTGGTGAGGACCAGAGAAGGACAGCTTGTGGGTCGCCATGCTCGCCAGCGGGAGAGCACTGCCAGGCAGGCGGAGGAGGAGGCTGCCAGGCAGGCGGAGGTGTTGCTGGCTGGTTGGTGTAGGTAGAGAGAGAGATCACCACGAGGTCAGGTCTTAAATAGCGGGGGTAGGCGTGGCTTAGCAGTTGACCCCCGCTCCGTGGTGTATGGCGGCGCTGGTTGACCTAGACCACGAGGCATACACTGGGGAATTGGTGGGGTCGGCTAGGCAGCGACAAACAGCGTTTGTGGGGGAGAATTCCACTACAATACTCCCCCTTCCCTCCAGGCTGTGTAGGAGACTTGTTGTCTGCAGGGTTGCATAGCACATGTGAGGCAGAACGGGCGGTGCGTGCCTCATGTGAGACAACGGCGATGGCGTGGATGAGCCGGTCGCTGGGGACAACTGTCTAGATACACAATATCTGTGGGAGTAGAGAGGGAGAATAAGGGTGTGTGGAGCCGATGAATTTTGTGCTTCCCTCACGGCAGGTACCGAGTCGTCAGATGCGCCTGCTGGGGTGTGTGGGCCTGGGTCAGGAGCAGGGGCTGCGTCAGCAGAAGCGGATGAGGGCTCGTGACAGCAGCTGGGTCCACGACAGCAGCAGGGTGCAGGACATTAGCATGGAGTACCTGAGGGAGAAAAGAGGGGTGTGTGGGTCCGCACTCAGGAACAGAGGCCGCATCAGGGGCGGCAGGGGTTACTGCTGGGCCGGGGTCGGCGTCTGAGGCAGGACGGGTGTGCTGGGGTCGGTAGGACGTGGTGCTTGGGGGCAGGAAAAGGAGCTGGTGTCTGCTAGGAGAAACAGTGCTGCTCTAGGGTGTCTAACCTGTGGTGTAGAGACAGTAGTTGTAGAGCCGATGAGAGCTGCTTCTGTGTGGATAAGCCAGTCTTCCATGTTGCTTGAAGACTGGGAGCGTGATCAGTTTCTCCTCCATCCTGTGTGAGTGAGAATCTCCGGGAGTCACCATTTGTGGGGTATGAGATGTTTGGTTCACACTCAGGATGGGATGGAGAAAGGAAACTCACAATGTGCTCTCTATATACATGTTGTATTGGATGTACAATGCAGCTTGGTGCTGGGAAGGCAGCATGGTTACAAGCGTGATGTAGAGAGAGCTGGTTGGTGAGGACGCTCAGAGAAGGACAGCTTGTGGGTCGCCATGCTCGCCAACGGGAGAGAGGACCGCCAGGCAGGCGGAGGAGGAGGGGGTGTTGCTGGCTGCGGCTGTAGGTAGAAAGAGAGACAGATCACCACGAGGTCAGGTCTTAAATAGCGGGGGTAGGCGTGGCTTAGCAGTTGACCCCCGCTCCGTGGTGTATGGCGGCGCTGGTTGACCTAGACCACGAGGCATACACTGGGGAATTGGTGGGGTCGGCTAGGCAGCGACAAACAGCGTTTGTAGGGGAGAATTCCACTACAGTACTACAACCTGTGTACACAGGATCCCATAAAGGCGACCCAACCTGGATCATGCAAGGCTACCAGTGTACCTTGGTCGACGTGTCTCGCCTATCTCTACAGTAGGGGGCTCAGACAAGCCTCAGCACCCAGCCCTTGGCAGCCTCACAGTCCCTAGCAGTGACAGACAGACTTTGGTGTCATCACATAGCCTTTACTAGATGTACACAACTAGCAACTTATGAGCACCCCCTAGAAGCATCACGTAGACCTTATGGGAGCATCAATCAGCCTCCTCAGAGACACAAACATCATATATTCCCTTGAAGTTACACTACCTTGAAAATAATTTTTAACTAGTACAGTACATGTAAAAAAAGATACAATTCCAAAACTTTATCCAGAAGAAAAATTCATTGGTTACAAAGCAAATTGTAAACACGTAAAATATAAATTAATGATATTAAGGTACAGTAAAACCTCGATTAACCGACCACATGTGGGGGAAGAGGCCGACGGATAATACATAAAGTCTACGGAAATAAAACATACATTTTCAAAGTACCTTTCCCTAACCTACCTCATTTAAGTCCCTCTATTCATTTGTTTCTCACTCTTGATTTTTTTTTCATTTTTGCATTTCTTTGTGGTTCTTTATTACTATTATTATTATCATTATTAATATTATTACATTATCGCCCCCCCAGGCCCCGATGTGGGTCAGTGACCTGTGCCCGGGTGGGCTAATCCCCATAAAAAAATAAATAAATAAATAAATAAAATTAATAGAGGTTCGGGATTGACGGTTAAATCGAAAGTCGGTTAATCGAGGTTTTACTGTAATGTAATACGTATAGTATAGTATTGATGTGCTCATTGAATATGATGCCAACAAACAAATGCTAAATACAGCCATATTTTTGCAGATGATCCATGTGATACTGTGGAGTGCAGAGCTGGACGCGAGTGTGTGGTGAGCGAAGGTGCTGCCCATTGCCAGTGCATCCAGTCATGTCCTGATCGCTACGCCCCTGTCTGTGGCTCCGATGGCACCTCCTATGACACCCACTGTCTCCTTCACCGCCATGCCTGCCTTACAGTCAGTTAAATTGCCACACCAACTATTATCATTGGCACTACCTTACTAGCCATAAGATTATCATAACTTGTTTTTTTTCATCCAGTCTTTATATCGGTAAAATCAACTACTGTACTGTACACACATTAAAAAAAAGTACAGCACAGATTATGTGTGAAACAATATGGCACCACAGACGAGGGATAGTGGTACAGTATATGCGTGTTGGTCCTGTATTATGGTGGTAGCCCTGCTTTCCTTGCCTGGGGGTGTCCTCCCTACCAACCATCCCGGTACCTCGGGTGATGTATGGATCATTACTGAAGTCAACACCCCCCCCCCCACTGTGCGATACTTTTTTTTACTGTGTTTACAGTAAAGTACTTAATATGCTGTACAGTATTTGATATACTGTGCTGTATATCAACTTATATACCTCTACCACCATCCAAATATACTGTAGAGGTTTTAAGATCACCATAATTATCTTTGCTGTTGTACAGTACAGTATACTGTATTTGCTATTTACCCAGGGTTCTCACAATATGTCCTGACATTTCATTTTTCCCAACTTTAAACATGATGTAATTACTGTACTGATTTATACAGCCTCTGTCATCCCCTTATAGCCATAATTTTCTCCCATTTTACCAGGGGTAATATTTTTTAAGGAAATTTATAACTCTGTTTAATGTGCAGAATAATGTCACCATGAGGTCATAATTCACACCTGACATACACTATGTAACCCCACATCACATTTTTAGTAATACAGTATATAGTCTGGATTTACGCAGCTTTGGTGAACGCGTTTGGTCATTACGCGGTGCCTTGCCAGAATTGAGATGCTTTAATTACGCGGTAAATTTGATCACTTATGCGGAGAGCAGCTGACGGTCCAGCCGCGCGCCATTTTGGATTCAAACCTCCCGCCATGCCTGACTACAAGCAGGGGGAAGTAGCATGGGGAGGGGTGCGCAGCATGTCGCTGTTGTGTTATCAGTGACGTCATATGACGTATCGGACTGTGAATGGGCTATGCATCCTTACCTCCCTCCCCCGCTAGCTGTGATGATTGGTTTAATGTAATGTGACGTGCCCTGCCACGAGAGGGAAGAAGTCGCTGACCTAGCAGGGCCTGTCTCATTGTTCTCAGTCCGCATATGCAGTTTTCTCTTGTGCCCGCTATTCCCCTCACAACTCACAATGGCTTCCGCGGGACCCCCACCACCAGAGAAAAACATTGAAATACCTGGACCAAGCCATGATTGTGTGAAGGAAATCATCGAGTTGGGGGAGAAAATTAAGCTCATCCTTAACAGCGACCCAGACAAGCATCGGTATGAAGCGTCTAATAACCATCTGACGAATGTTATGGAGCCGTACAGTGGGGTATGCTATAACGAACGGATCCTACTACGAATATTCCTATAACGAACGGTTTTACCTATAAAATTGAGAATGCTATAACGAACGCAACTCCTACAACGAACGCGGATGAATACCGGACTATTTCGCCTGGCGCATGAATATTGTTGTACCGCGACCCACAACAAGAGCGTCAGGCGCCATCTTTGTCTCATTGTGTAGCCAGTGCACCACTGTTATTGTTGAAATTTCGTGTTTTGATGTGGAAATAGAGTTATTTGTATAAATATTTTGTTATACAAGTGTACAATTGTGACAATGAATCGTTCAAAGCGAGTGAGAAAGCTCATAACTCTTGAAACTAAGAAAGAAATCATAAAGAAACGTGAGGATGGAACAAGCATTGCGAAACTTAGTGATGAGTATGGGATGGCTAAATCGACTATATGTACGATTTTAAAGAATAAAGAGGAGTTGCAAACAGTGCAAGTGGCTAAGGGAATCTCTAGACTTAGCAAAGCAAGGTGTAATGTGATTGAGGGGATGGAAAATTTACTCTTAGTGTGGATAAAGGAGAAAGAAATGGCAGGTGATAGCATTAGTGAAGCTATAATTTGTGAGAAGGCCAGACAATTGTTTGAGGACCTTAAAGCCAAGACTCCCAGTGCAAGTGATAGTGATGTGCCAGTGTTTATGGGTACCAAGGGGTGGTTTACTGTGATGAAACTGGACTATTTTGGAAAAAAATGCCTCGCCGTACATACATTACCAAGGAGGAAACTTCTGTCCCTGGCCATAAGCCAATGAAAGACAGGCTTACCCTCCTTCTTTGTGCTAATGCTTCTGGTGACTGCAAAATAAAGCCACTCCTTGTGTACCATGCAGAAAACCCCAGAGCTTTAAAAAACACTAGGAAGACCCGCCTTGGTGTTATGTGGTGGTCAAACCCAAAGGCTTGGGTGACCAGGAATTTATTCTCTGAGTGGGTGATTGAGGTGTTTGGACCCAGTGTTCGGGAATACCTCAGGGAGAATAATCTTCCACTAAAAGCTTTGTTGGTGATGGACAATGCACCAGCCCACCCTCATAATTTGATGGTTGAATTGCCAGAGGAGTTGAACTTCATCACTGTGCACTTCTTGCCACCCAACACAACACCTCTCATCCAGCCCATGGATCAACAGGTAATTTCTAACTTTAAGAAGCTGTACACAAAGGCACTGTTTAGAAAATGTTTTGCGTCCACTTCTTCCAGTGATGTTAGCTTGAAGGAATTTTGGAAGAGTCACTTCAATATAGCAGATGCTGTATTTTTAATTACCTCAGCCTGGAAAGAGGTTACTGTGAGGTGTCTTTGTGCTGCTTGGAGGCCATTGTGGCCTGAATGTGTCCTTCAAAGAGACTTTGAAGGCTTCGAAGAGTTAGAAGAAGAGGCTGTTGTTCATGAAATTGTGGCTCTGGGCAATTCCATGGGCCTGGAAGTGGATGATGATGATGTTGAGGAGTTGGTGGAAGAGCACAGTAAGGAATTGTCCACTGAGGAGCTGCTTGAGCTTCACAAAGAGGAAAACGAGACACTGAAGCGGAGCTTAACTTCTGAGGAGTCAGGGGAGGAGGAGGACAAGGAGGAAAGCCGCATCATTCCAGCCAAAGATCTCAAGGATGCGTTCTTTTGCTGGAGCAAACTGTCCAAGCTTGCTGAGGATTAACATCCTGATGTTGGTTCTGTGCAAAAGGCCATCAGTGTGTTCAATGACAATGTTATGAACTACTTTTGGAAGGTCCAGAAATCAAGGTTGAAGCAGCCAACCCTGGATACCTTCTTTACAAAGATAACAAAAGAACATACAGACAAAGTGCCTGTGAGACAGTCACCAAAGAGGGCTAGGAAGGATGACTCCTCTCCTTCCACCTCTTCTCAATAATTCTCTCCTCCCCCCTCCCTCCTGTCCTGAATGCTGAACAACACTAAGGTAAGATAAAGTACCGTATTTTTTACATTTTCCACATAATTTTTTCAGTGTTAAGTGGTTGTATTTGGGGGCCTGGAACGGATTAATCCTATAATGAACGAATGCTATAACGAACGAGGTTCTGGAACCAATTACGTTCGTTATAGCATACCCCACTGTATATCCAGATCTATCTCGACCACATCAATGCTAGTCTTCAACCCACCACAACCACAGCCAGCCCAAGTCAGTGATAGTGACGATATGGACTTTGAGGGGGTTTGTCTGGGAGGCCCTGCAAACCTCTGCGAGTAGTGAAAGTGATTCACCGGAGGGCAACTAATCTGCCCCCTGCCTCGGAACCAGCCGCCATCCACGTGTGCCGACCCAGCTTTTCTACTAACGTTATTGTTAAAAAACCTAATATTATTGATATTTCTCTTAATTATTAATTATGTGTGCATACCATCATAAAATTAAGATGTTATTTTTACTACAACGTAGGTATTGTGTCGGCAAAAAGTGGAGTTTGGGGGTCGGCCCAGTCTCTATTTCAATTAATCCCATACGTTGTTATTTCATTTACGCGTTTCTCGTTTTATGCAGACCTCCATGGGTTCAATTGACCACGTAAATCCAAACTATACTGTACAGTACTGTATTAAACAACACCTGGGAGAATTAATAGAGATAACCCAAGAACATTTGCAGTTTTGGGCAGTGGTCACCAACCCTTAGACCAGGATTGAATGATTGATTAGTACTGTACTATACAGTACAAGGAATTCTGTCTTTCATTATTCTTAGCTACTACACATAACCCATTGTTTTAGATACCTTTGTACAGTACATCATGTAATCATCAAAATTATCACACTACGTGCCTCACACTATTGCATCCAGGGTTCAATTCCCAGGTATGATCAGATGTGAGGGTATTATCCACTGTAACCCTCCCGTACATTATGGGTCTTCTCTAGGTGTTCACGTTTCCTCCAGTACTTATACTGTACTGGACAATAAAGATCATTAGAATAGACCAACCTCCCAACCAGCTTGTAAGCTGATGTATGGTAAAATGGTAAAAAATAAATAAATAAATTAACACCACCTTGTACTCCTATGATTTGGACCTTAGTTCCTCTCCAGTACTTAACTGCAGGCTAGTTATAATTTTGAGGGCCAAAATTTTAAATCAAAGTGCACCCACTTTAATTTAAGGTTCATCAACATCACTCATATTACACTTAGTATGCATAATAAATACATTACATTATAATCAGTACTGTGTAATCCTTGACTGTTATAGTGACTAACTGGTTGTGTATGGTTGCAGGGGAATCACATCAAAGTCGTGCACAAAGGAATCTGCAAGAAGGTCAAACAGGTGAAGAAAAAAACAGTGAAAATAGAGGATCCAGGTAAAAAAAAAATCCTTTCACATTTCTTGGCTATGTAGTACAGTATTACATACATACTCTCCAAGAATGCATAGTGTACTGCAATACAGTACACTATATGATTTTATGCACAGTACAGTACTGTATATCCATGTACAATTCTACTCAATATCTTGGCTATGGCATACAAGTATAATATAAGTAAATGCATGTAAAGTATGTTTTCTTCATTTTAAGGTTACCTTAAAATCTGTCTCTTTTTCAGTCTGCCCATCAAGTTAAATTTACCCAATGAATATAAGAAAAGTCTACTAGTAGTGTATGGTGTGATAATTGATTGGATATAACTCATGCTTTCTGTCCTGTGGGTCACTGGTTTGCATCTGGGTCACCCCTAATCCACTCAGCTCTGAAGGGGCACCTAATTTACAGTTTGGGAAAGCGAAATCAGTCAACAGCAGTACTTAGTGTTTAGACTACAGTGTGCTGTACCTGTACTGCCCCTAATGGGTGTCAGACCTTTGATGCGTACTTTTAATTTTCATTACTTGTAGTCAGTGGTGAGCAGCAACACATAAAACTTTTAATGCTAAGAAGAGGGAAGTTCTGGGGTCATTCTGTATTGAGTATCGGCAAGGTTTCGCTGAAAGTTGAGGGTAGGAGTGCCAGGGGAAGGCAGAGACTGGGATGGATGAATGAAATTAAAAACTGGGTTCCCAGAGAGATACAAAACTTTACAGGATTGGTAAACACAGCCCGAAAACGTTTAGAGTGGAGGACTGTTGTCGCCAACCTTCAGATATGAGGACGGTACTCTGATTGATTGAGGCTGAGGTGGTTTGGAAATGTGGAAAGACTGGAGGAGACCAATTGGGTCAAAAGATACCTTAGTTTAATTGTGGAAGGGAGGAGAGCTAGGAGTAGGCCAAGAATGCCATGAAGAAAAGTTGTGAGATATGAGCTCAGAGATTGAACCTGATGAGAAAGGCTTCAAGAGATTGTACAACCTGGAGGAAAGCCAGGATGCTTGGAAAAAATACTATGATTGATCACTGAATGAGGAGCACAAATGAGACAGCAGCAGCCGAACCAATACAGGGACCATGCCCAAGGATTGAAAAGAGAATAGGTAAAAAAGAAATCGATAAAATAAAGAATGAAAAGGTGGATGAAAGCTCTGGAATATTTGCAGAAATGATGCTAAAAGCATCAGGTGATGTCAGTGTGTCAATGGTGACCGAATTGACTGATGGAATGTACTGTTCCAGACGATTTGTGGAAAATTATGTTCGTGAATACAGTACTTGATTGTAGGAATTACAGAGGCCTGAAGCTGTTAGACCAGGTTATGAAAGTTGTGGAATGAGTCATCAAGAAATTTATAAGGGAGAGGGTGGACATTAATGAAATCCTGTTTGGGTTTATGCCAAGTAGACGGACTACAGTTTAGAGGCAATATTTATGGTCAGTTTACTACAAAGGAAACATCTAGGGAAGTAGAGGAAATTGTACTTCATACTGTACTTGTAGACTTAGAGAAGGCATTTGACAGGGTATCACATGAAGTAGTAGTAAAGTGGACAATGAAAAAACAAGGGGTTGAGGAGTGTCTTATTCAAGTAGTCATGGCATTATACAAGGCTCAAAAACAGCTGTGAGAGTGAATGTTGGTGCAAGAGGCAGTATCCTGGGATCTTGTAATTGGTCTGCCCTGGGAGTAATTGTATGCTGTTGACTTAATGCTGATAGCAGGTAGGTATTGAAGAAGTAATGGAAAAATTTTAAAAGTGGAAGGACGGAATAGAGCCAAATGGCTTAAGAGTAAATGTAATTATTAGTGGCAAGGGTGAAGAACCTTTAATATAATAATTACCATGTGCTGTTTGTAAGAAAGGTGTTGGAAGCAACTTAATAATGTGCAGTAAGTGTGGAAAATGGATATACAAGAGGTGCAGTGGAGTGGATGAAAGACTGCAGGATGTTGTTGACTTTAAGTGTCCTGTACAAGTATGTGCACTTGTGCAGGTAATCATGTGGCCTTAGCAAGGCTAGAGAAACTCATCATTGGGGATATATCCCGATTGTATCAATGAGTTCTGTCACCTGGGTGACATGATCATTGCAGGAGGTGGTGCTAAAGCTAGCTCAGTTGCAAGAGTCAGAAGTGGCTGGAGGATGTTTAGGGAGTTGCTGCCTTTATTCAGTAAGAGGACCTTCCCTTCACTTGAAAGGAAAGATGTATGCAACTGGCATGAGAAGTGTGATGTTGTGTGACAGTGAAACATGGGCAGTTGAAGAGGATGACCAATACAGGCTTGAGTGAACTGAAATGAGAATGGCGAGGTGGCTGTACAAAGAGACACTGAGAAAGGAAACCCTGTTTACTGCAAGGGCAGCTGGGTATTGAGAGTATTGACACAGCTTTGTTTAGAGGTGGGCTGAGATGGTTTGGGCATGTGGAACGAATAGAGGAGACCAATTGGATCAAGAGATGCATGAGTCTGAATGTCAGGGGTAGACCAAGAATGACTTTAGAATTAATAACCTGATGAGAGAGACTACACAGCATGAGAGCTACCATTACACAATCATGAACTCTTGAAACTGTGGAAAATGGCCACAGAATGGTGATATTGATGATGTTAGCCTCGGTCTCTGATTATCTCCACTTCAATCATTAGACCTTCAAATATGCATTTTCACATCCTAACACCTTGAATCACTCTTGAACTAGTTCAGGCTGACTTGTTTCTCTAAGTTGAAATATGGAAGAAAATATCACATGCAGACCCTTTAAATCTTGGAGCAGAAATTTTGGAAAACCCCCGTTTACTATCACAAAAATTAAACATTCTGTAATTGTATACTGTATTGATACACATTAAAGAATTTTTTCTTAACTCCAAGCCTGATGTTCAATTAATGAGAAAACATAAATCATCAAAGGCAGACTGGATAACTCAATGAAATTAGCTGATGCCTTAACACAGAGTGGGTGTTGCCAGTGATTACACCCTACTTGGACAATTATATGTTTTAAGCACTCTTACCTAACCTAACCTGATCATTTAACTAAGATGGTAAAAGTCACATAACTCAGACAATCGTCCTAGTGGGATGACACCATCTCCAGTTCCCAGTCAATTCATTGGTTATACAATAACTTTAATGAGATTGTGAACAAACTAAATCAACACTAGTAAACTTAAATAAAATAATTTCGAGCTAAATACATGTACAGTATGAACACTATGGTTCCCTACCAAAACACTATAAATAGTGCTAAAAATAAAAAGATATGTACTCACCCACGAAGTTTTTAAGCAAAGTAAACAATAAGACCATATGTTTGGCAGAAGGTTAACACCAGAATACTATCAAGGTTGACCTGAGAAGAAAGGTGAGGTCTGAACTAGCTTGCCGAGTCTTCTCCTTATAATTTACTAGAGAGAAAAGCTTTGCTTCTGTTTTCCCTTTTAAGGTGATAATTGTAGTAGGGGAAGACAAACTAATCATACAAATAACCCTTGCCATATCCATATATTAAGATCTGTTATTCATTGCAGCTGTGTGCTACAGCAGCCAGCGTGATGCTCTTCTCCAGGTGGTGAAAAAGCACTGGCAGGACACTTTGGCTGACCAGCCCTGGCATGTGCCTGGCATGACATATCGAGAAAGTCTTTGGGGACGCTTTTTCACTTGTGATGGAGACAAAGATAATCATCTTAACTCTGATGAATTTCTTAATTGTACCATTGGTGCTTTCTTCATGGCACGTCCTGAGCAAGAGAGAGAACTCACCAGGTAATATATTATTACTACATTAGTGATATGTTAAGTTGTTGCTTATTACGGATAATATTATCCATAAGTAAAATACTGGACTATATTAAGTGTAATGTTAATACAGTACAGTACTTCACATTTAAGAAATTGGTTGTCATTATATATACTGTACATGTTTATATTTGGTTTGGCATGTACAGTATATAAACAATGCAGATACTGTATACAGTAAACCCTTGTTATTTGCGGGGGGTTAGGTGCCAAGGAATGACTTGAATACTGTACGCAAAACCACGAATAGCAACTTAAACTACTTTATACCTATACTAAACAACCGACCAGCCGCGGCAGCACTCATACCCTTTTACATTTCACTCCACTAGCAATGACACTAGGCAGTCTTTTAGGGGCCATTTCACATAGAAACACTAAAGTTTTGAGAGTACAACATGAGATGCTGCATGGGGCGACTCAATGTGTTGCGGGAAAAGGCTCACAAGCTAGCCACCATAGTCACCATTTGCTTACCGTGATTCGTCAAAATCGCGAATTGCAAACCAGCGAATGGCAATGGTCTACTGTACAGTATGCACATAAACAATGCAGGTACTGTACTGTATATAGACCATGCAGGTATACAACCAGTTTATACAGACTGTGCTGATAAAGTAATATCCCCATTAACCGGAATTGAAATTTTCCAGGATTTTCCGGAAAATTATGGCTTTGGGAATGATTTTCCGAGGGGCAAATTTTCTGAAAAATTCTGAGCAAATTTCCCTGATACCCGGAAAATTCCAGGGATGGGGGAGTTTTTCCGGGTTTGAGAGATGAAAATTGGGCGCGTTTTCTGGAAATTCCAAGAAAAATTTTCTGGTACCCGGAAAATTCCAGGGATGGGAATATTTTTCCGGGTACAGGAGATGATGTAATGGGCAATTTCTGGAACTTCTGAGAACATTTTTCCTTTACCCGGAAAATTCCAGGGATGGGGGATATTTTTCTGGGTTTGAGAAATGATGTGTAATGGGCAATTTCTGGAACTTACGAGAACGTTTTTTTGTAACCCAAAAAATTCTGGGAATGAGGTATTTTTTTCCTGGAAGTGCTCTGCACCAATTGTTTTGGCTAACGGAGATATCACTTTATACAGTCTACCTGGACAGTGCAGGTGCTGTACACAACAATGGTAGACAATAAGACAATTTAACAAAGGTTAACCAACAAAGCTATCAGATGCTTACCGGTATTGTACAGTATATTTTAAATTTCACGAAATGCTTACAAAATAATTCCTAACTATTCTAAAGTGACATATAGGGAGCACTGTCTTGATACACCGTGATGTACGGCTCCATAGCCTGCACCAGCCGGGTATGGAAGACTTCATAGCGGTCATCGTCATGGTCGTTGGAAAGGAAGAGCTTCAATTTCTCTGCACACTCGATGGCACCCTTAATAATCCTATGCGTTAACTTGTGTTCTTCTGAGATTGACGCACCATCTTCCTCTTCACTGACGTGATCATCTTCCAACATCTCGTCAGCAGTCATTTCAGGATCTCTGATCACCTCCAGGATGTCTTCGTTGGTGGTCTCGGAGAAGCCTTCAGCTGTAATACTGTGCGCAGCTTCTCTTGCAAGCAATTAATGTCAATGCCGCATCGAACTCACCAGTCATAAAGCCGACCCGCCTCACCCGTATGCCATGCAACACATGCCTCCATGCGTGACGCCTAATCAGCTATAGATAATAGCTATCCCATGCCTCACCAAGAAGTTTCATGGTTTGCTTGATGCTAAATTTCTTCCAAAACCGTTTGACTTAAGAACTTCTTGAGTCACCACCCCTGTTCCCTGGTTCCTCGCCGCTTACTCAGCGCATGTGTCACCCAGCTTAACTCATCTCTTGTGTTGCGCTATCGTCGTGAGCTTAACTTTTGCCGAGTATGCAGCTTTACATTGCAGATCAACCCTTCTGGTCCATGGGCTGGATTTACGACGTACTGTTGGGAGGCATGAAGACCACTTTTACGCTTGGGGTGACGATCCATGTTAGGTGGGCGAGTGGTCCTGCGCGCTGTCGGGCGAGAAACAAAATCTTGAATGGAAACATTTTTGCTCGCAGAATTTCTTCAGTCGGAATGAAACAGTCATCAAACCAGGAGAGCACAGAGAGAGAATATCCACGCCTTTATAAAGAAGGTCAGCCAGTGGATATTGACCCGGCACATGTCCACGTTTGTATGCAAGGGCTTATGGGCTGTGTGAATCACTCTATAACTTTGCTTACAGGTACCGGAGGTACGAAGATAAAGAGGACGGTGATGCGCCTTCTGCAACTTCCAATTTTAACCTGCTGGCAGACTGACAACAAAGGTCTGGAGGTAGTTTTTTCCAAAAAAGGCCGGATTCGCCCATGTTAAACACCTGGTCGCTAGTGAACTGCCTTCCTCCATAACCCCACGAAGAAAGCATAGGAAAATCTCTAGGCCGCCACACGTTAGCACTTTCTTCACCACCAATGCTGATACAGATATTGTTCCTCCTCTTAACCTATGCAGCCAACCAGAGGAAGCATTAGGCTGGTTTGGGTTCGTAATTCCCATCTTACGTGACACTGTTAAGCATAGTTCACGTACATGCATTTCTGAACAGATCGCGTCCACCTGAGGAATCAAATAACTCACAGCAACAAACCTTTAGCAGCACCTTTGTTCTGGCAATATTCTGATCATTGGAGGCACCTGCAGACTTTGTAATTCTCATGTGCTCTTTGATCTTGGCTGCACCTTTCATTAGGTACGTAATCGTAGGATTCGTTTCACTCCCATGCCATGCCATGATCAGCTTGACGGTTCTTTCTCTCCAAATCTTGAATTATCTGGCATTTCACTTCGTGAGCTTAGAACGGCGATCTTCGGCTTAGGCCAGGGTCCAGGCGAAAGGATTCTCTCAGGCGTGTCCGCAGAAGCTATTCTGCTAGAAACAATGGTTTAATGGAGCAAGTACCTGTGTGGCTCTGAGGGATGAACTGCCATAGGTCGAAGTGCCGCTCTTCTCTCCCTCCCCAAGGGTAGACACGCTATATTACTTAAACCAATTACAGCCAGTAAGCCAGGAGGGAGGAGGATGCATGGCCAATCACAGTCCGGAGCATGTCATATGACGCCACTGATAACGCAGAACAGAGACATGCACCGCGCAACTCATCATGCTGCTTGCCCAGGCTAGAGGCGGAGGGGCGAATCTAAAAATACGCCGAGGCCAGACACTTGCGGTATAGCGGGTAGATGAACCGCGGAAAGTGAAAAGTTCAACCGGCGAAAGGCACCGCCAGAAATGAGAAAAAAACGCCGGAAAGTGAATCGCTGCAAAACGGAAAGTGAAAGTGCGAAAGCGGGTAATACTGTATATATATATATATATTTCATTTTAGTCCATATAACACGCGGACTTTGAAATATAATCAACGCATTCACCGCATTTTTTCCTCATTTCAGTGTTTGGATACTTAACCATTCAACTGGTGTTAAAAGTGCCTCTCATATCTTTATTATGGCCTCTAAATGCACAGCAAGTGATAGTGCTACATCACAATAACGTTACAAAAATCGCAACATCACACTGGAACAAAAGATGAAAATCATAGCAAAGTTTGAGGCTGGTGAACGTGCAGTGGACATATTAATAATACACGTACAGTACAGTATAGTAAATATATTACCTGAGGTTACCACCTTGCAGTGCAATACAATACTGTAATGTGTACAAATTAATTAATCTTGTATTTGTATGAGTGAAAGATTTTTGAAATTTATATCAACATCATTTTGTATTTAGATGTATGTGCTTGTTTTACTTAAAACTTTGTAGAATTGCCTTTTTCATGGACTTACATTATTAACTGAACTGAAATTAATTATATTTGTCATAACATTAAACTAAACTTATTCATTAATATTCTTTAAAGTGAAAAATCTAATGCTGAGTTTGTTGATTATCTGTTACTCCTGTAATTACAATAAATATTTTGTGCAACAGAGCATTGTACAGATGCTATTGTGGATGTAGCAGACACCAATCGTGACTGGAGGCTTGATTTTGAGGAATTTACAACAATGCTTTCCCCTGACTTCCACCCAGCTCATAAGTGTGAGTACAGAACTGTACAGGATATACATTATGATAACTTTTATGTACACTCTTACCATAAACTTCTCAAACGCTATAAGCACAGTGCAATCTGAAAATGAACGAAGAATCTGAACCCATTCCCAGATGACGAGTCCCATTCTGCTTAATCTCATATCCATTGTGCCCAGGTGTTCGAGAAGTTTTTTGGAAGAGTGTACAATAAAAATTTATTATTATTACAAGCATCAAGCAATTCTATACTTAGACCATAAGTACTGTACAGTATATCTTTCATGTAAGTCAAATTTTATTATTAGTATGTCCTTATGAAATGATGCACAAATGTACTAATGCAATTTACTTCTCTACAGTGTGCTCACTGGATGGGAAGCAATACCTTGATGGGGAAGATGTTCATGTTGATGGAAACCACTGGTTAGTTAGCTGTTTCTCTAGTAATGTAACTTTAAGAAACCTAAATGGAGCTATGATACTGGATGTAAAGCAGCATTGTAGGATGCATACAACTGAAAAAATGTCCTCTTATATATGCATGACCCCACTGAACCTATTTTCATAAATTCTATTGCACCTTTGAAGAATTACAAATAATTTGTTTACTCTGTCCTAGATATTCCAAGGTTACACTCTCATTCTTTATTAGCAATGATAAGCGAGTTGCAGCAAATTTTGCCATGTTTCATTTTGCAACTTCTTTTCAGAGTAACAAACCTTTGTCTTCCTTTTAAAACTTTCTCAGATATGCCAGCCTTTATTCCACAATTAATAAGAAAATTACCAATGGAGTTAAAGTATCTTTACAGTGGTTGTAAGATATTTGTTTTCTTCCTTAATTACAATTTTTGGAGGAAACTATAATACAGTACTATACTGCTATTGGAAAAGATTAAAATACTTATATCCAACAGAGCATTTCCAAGTTATTATTTCTACTCTTAATAAACTTTATCTTTTATTACAGCATCTGCGCTGTGGGTAGCTGGGTGTGTACCTCTACAGATACCTCAAAAGACACCAACAAAAAGGATTTTGGTGTTCAGGCCTTTGATTATCTGGATGACACTGAAAACAAAATTGATAATGAGGATGATGACAGCTACAATGACTTAATTGATGATGATTATGATCTGTCAAGTGAAGATGATGATGATTATCTAATTGATGAGGAAGAAGATGAAGAATATCTAGAAGAACTTTTTGATGATCTGCTAGACAAGTTAAAAAGGCATCGCGAGCAGAAGCATCACCACAATTACCTGTAAAACACTCAGAAAGCTAACAGTGAAGAGATAGAGAGGCGCATACTGTACATCCACAACAGTTCAGGTACATGGGAGCTTATGTTTACTGTGTACATGTACTTTCAACTGCATGAAGCTTTTATTCTATTAAAATAACATTGCATCCTTATGCATCGACATGGGGTGATCTCGAAGTAGGAAAAGCCTCTGTTGAAGCCACATGTATCCACAAAATGTGTTTGGTCTTATGAAATGTTCATTTGGCCTTCCATGTTCACTGCACAACTTATCAACTCATATCTCTTTACTTTCCATATCAAGCTGTAATATTTCAGTTCCTACTTGTCACAAGATGCCTCTACTGTAAACACTATCTGGTGAGGAATGTGGTTAAGTTTAAACACAGCAAAAATTCAGTAACTCATTAAATTTACACAATTCTGAAACAGTGAAACTCATTAATTTATTACTTACATTCTTATGATTCAATTGCTTTGCTTTAAACATCCCCCAAAACTTAAGAGCTCAAGAGCTCCTTCAGTAATTATCTGAATCTTTGAGCATTTATTAATTTTTAGTCAGACCATTTTAAGTGCTTATCAGTCTCTTATCCATACTGTCTATATCATCATTGTACGTATAGGAATTTTTAATGGTTTCTATTTAGTATTGCTATGATTTAACATCCAGCAATCAGTTATACTAACACCCATTATACTTATTACCTTATCCATAAACATGAAACAAATACTGTATGGTGATGAACCACAAACTATGCATTCCTAATTTAATTACAGTATATACAGTACTTTTTTTTGTTATATATATATATATATATATACAGTATATATATATATATATATATATATATATATATATATATATATATATATATATATATATATATATATATATATATATATATATATATATATATATATATATATATATATATATATATATATATATATATATATATATATATATACTCACCCCTGAAGATGTTAATTACACAAAAAGCTTGGGAACCGTGTTTTTTTTCCTTGTGGTTATCAGCATATACCTGGATCATGCACACCTACAGTGATTTATTTGCATATATATATACAGTGCAGCACAGTACACCACATGCCACCATTTACTCTGAGAAAAAAATTACTTGCTATAAACACTAGAAGCATCATACAGTATTAGTTTTATATAAATACCTGTACAATATAAAGCTAATGCTATCCAGAGTCCTTTTGTTATTAACTTATGTTTTGTCTAAATCCATAATTGTAATTTATTCTTTTTCCTAATTTAGAACTTTCCTCTTAATCTGAATACCCTGTATAAACATCTACCCCTTGAAACACTTTCTACAAGGTGTATAGATAAAGGTGATTGTGTTAATCTGATTTTATGCTTACAAATATATTCTAATAAATCTTTAATACTTTTAGTCATTAATTTTATTCAAAAATCCTAAATTCATGATCTTTACTTTATAACCATGGAGTCTTCGAAGTTAAACCATGCTGGGGTGCACCTGTCGACCGGTAGCTTTATGTAATACAGTAAGTCCTCACTTAACGTCGTGATTCCGTTCCTGAAAACTGCAATATTAACGGAACCAATTTTCCCCATAAGAAATAGATAAAATATGGGATTCGTTCCCCAGCCTCCCTTTGCCCCATAAAATGTATTATGTGTACATAAATTCAATGGAATTTTATAATAAAATAGTATATATATTATACATCCAAAAAGATAAATAAACTAAATCATTTTGTATTGTACTCACAGATGGGTGGAGGTGGAGCAAGTGTGTGGTGGGTAGTGGAGAGGAGGAGGGTGGGGAGTCACTGAGACCCGGAGGGTGGCTCCTCCTTCCACTCTGACTGGGTGAGAGAGGGTGATGTGCCGTGCAAAAGTAGTCCATGACGACGTTATACAGAATCAGGGGGGATGTTGTCCAAATCATGGGTATCTAAAGAAGTGACGTTATAACGAAACAACGTTATGGAAGCGATTAACGAGGACTTACTGTACACTAATAAAATTTGCAATTAATACATGTACTAAAACATACAGTACAGTATAGTCTGGATTTACGCGGTCAATTGAACCCGTGAAGTACGCGTAAACCCGAAAAGCCGTTCATGAAATAACAAAACATGGGATTAATTGAAATAGAGACGGGCCGACTCCAAACTCCTTTTACAGACACAATAAATGCGTTCTAGTAAAAATAGTATCTTAACTTTATGATGGTATGCACACACACATAATATAGAAGATAAATATCAATAAGAATAATATACTGCACCAGGTAAAATAAAATCAAAGTTTAACACTTACGCTAGTAGAAGAGATGGGTCGGCATACATGGATGGGAGCTGGTTCGAGGCAGAGGGCGATTAGTGGCCCCTAGGTGAATCACTGTCACTATCCACCACAGATGTCAGTGCCTCCTGACAGATCCTCGTCAACATCAAATCAGTCACTATCACTACTGGCTGGCTGTGGTGGGGTTGCAGGCGAAGAAGTCCGTGATACGCTGGCGGCTAGTGTTGATGTGTTCGTGATACATCGTGATGCACGGCTCCATAGTTTGCAACAGATGGTTATTGAAGACTTCATAGTGGTGATTGTCATGGTCGTTGGAAAGGACGAGCTTGAGTTTCTCTGCAAACTCGATGGCATCCTTAACATTACCATGTGTTAACTTATGTTCTTCTCGGGCTTAGCACCACCTGCCTCCTCACTGACGTCATCGTCTTCCAACATCTCGTTGGCAGTCACCTCAGGATCCCTGATCACCTATATTGTCTTCGTGGTGGTCTTGGAGAATCCTGTTAACACTCTGTGCAGCTTCTTGCAAGGTCCACAGCCACTGCAACAGACTGAACCTCACCAGTCACAGTTGCCTCTGCCTCCCACCTGGGATACCTTGCAACACATGCTGCCACGCTGGACGAATTGTTGCCACAGACAGCTGCCCCCATGCCTCCACCGAGAAATCAACAGCTTTGACGTTGAATTTCTTCCAAAACTGTTTGACGCGAACTTTTGCTCGGCTAACTCTTCTTGCTCCTCGTCAGCTCTCGTGTCACCAGGTTCCGAACTCATCTTTTGTGTAGGTGTCATTAAGGAGCAAACTTCTTTATGAAAGGAGCCTTAACATTACAAATTAATTTGATCCATGGGCTGAATTAATGATGTAGCTGGAGGAAGAACTTTTACGTTGGGGGTGACGATCCAACAGTAGGGGCGAAAGTGTCCTGGTGCTTGTCAAGAGCAACAAAATGTTGAATGGAACATTTGTTGCTCGTGAGAATTTCTTCACGCCAGAACGAAACAGTCATCAAACCAGGAGAGGGACAGACCAGTGAACATCCACGCTTTACGCAGGCGTTAACCAGTGGACATTTAACTTGGTCATGTCCAGTGTTTCAGGCGCAATATGGGCTGTGTGGATCACCGATAACTTGAGCTACAGCTCGGAGGCATTGGTGGTAAACAGGACGGTGATGTGCTCCTTCTGCAACTCCGGCCCGACATTTACTGGCAGACTTGACAACGGTGAGCTTTTTCCAAAACAGACCGGATTTATCCATGTTGAACACCTGGTCGTCGGTGTACTGTCCTTCTCCATAACTTCGGAAATGGAGGACACCGCCGCATAACACGGTCAGCACTACCATCTTCACCAACAATGTTAATGTTGGTAATCTTGTTCCTCTCTAAACCCTTGCAGCCACCAGAGGAAGCAGTGAAGGGTTTGGGCTCTGCATCTTCATCTTGAGTGCCACTGCTGCGCATAGTTCACGTGGCATTTCTGAACTGACCGTGTCCAACGCCATGTTCTGTCTTACCTGACGAACCAAGTAGCTCACCAGCAAATTTCAGTCTTGAGCAGCACCTTCTGACAGTATCACCATTGAAGCACCTGCAGACTTTGGTGATGCTCATGTGTTCTTTTATCTTGGCGGCATCCTTCGAGTGTCCTGATCGTAGATTTGTTTATTCCATGTTGGCTAACAAAATCAACTTGCCTCTACCTTTCTCCAACTCCTGCACGCTTCTTGTACTTAACTTCATAGCTTAAAGCCTGCCGTGTCTTCTTAGGCTTGGGGGTGTTTGGGCCAGGTAGTTCAAGGTTTTTCTAGGAGGTGGGGGTCCAGTGGAAGCCATTGTGAGAGATTAGCGGCACACGAGAAGAAGTATGTGACTGAGAACAATGCGACTTGCCGGATCAGCGGCTTTTCCCGTGGCAGGGCACGTCATATTACATTAAACCAATCACAGCTAGGGCGGGGAGGGAGGTAAGGATGGCGTGGCCCAATCACAGTCCGATCGTCATATGACGCGATAACGTTAACAGCGACAATTGCTCAACCTTACTCACGCCGCTTCTGCTTATGGTCACATGGCGGCCGCTGAATCCAATGGAGCGCGCCGTCTGGACCCCAGCCTTCCACGAATGACCAAATTTACCGCGTAATTAAAGCATTTAATTCTGGCAAGGCACCACAGAATGACCAAACGCTAACCAAACCGCGAACCAGACTATACTGTAGTATATATTGTTTATTTGTCTGTGTTTATCTATTATTATGTCTCCACAGAAATACCTGTACAGTACAATACTACAGGGTACTAAAAAATACTATGTCAGGGAGTAAACCAGTATACCGGGTATTCAGATGAATTAAAAGTTTACTCCTGAATGACAAAATGGCTGATCCCAGGGCATAGCATCCCTTAATAATGTTCACTCTATTATGAGTTGCCTGGTTTAAGACCAATAGCCAGAAAAATACCAGGTTGGTGATAAAAATTTTATAATATCTAGTAATAGAATATTAAGACTTTATATTTTTTATTTAATAGTACTTTAGGCCAGTTATCACCCTATTGCCAACTGGATCTTCAAGGGGCTTCTCACACCGAGAAATCATGGATCTGCCGTCTTAGTAGTTAGTGTAAAGACAGCAGAAGTTTAATGTTTGTTTGTTACTCTAGAAATTCAAAAACAATTTTCTAACATACTGTACTAAATACTTATTGTTAAGTGTTTAGGGCCCTAAATACAGTTTGGGAATCTACTGTACTCACAAGAACTGTTATTAGTGAATTAGAACTAATTCAAAGATCACTGAAAATACAAGGGTCCTACTCTGAACACAACGGTTTATGAAGAGGTAACATGGAGGGATACATGATAACTAAAAGATGTGCAAATTTGATATACTAAGTAATAAATTCTTTTAAGAATCAAACATAACTAACACATACCTTGTTTGATGAGAAAACTTGAAATTCATTCAGGCAACATAGGCTGGCAGACATTTACAGATCATTATGTGAAGGAAAGGCCTTCACCCAATTAAGATGGAGTGGTTTTCAAACTTCGTTGTTCAGGGTGACCCCTATGGCCATCTTTAGCCAAATTGGGTGTGACCCACCATGAGAATTTGACCAGTTAAAGTAGGAGAGAGAGATTGTGGTTAATGTTTAGGCACCAGTAAAAGTAAGAGAGAGACTGTGTTTAATGTTTAGGCACCAGTTAAAGCAGTAGAGAGGCTGTGGTTAATGTTTATACACCAGTTAAAGTAAGAGAGAGGCTGCAGTTAATGTTTAGGCACCAGTTAAAGTAAGAGACCGTGGTTAAGGTTACGACACCATTCAAAGTAACAGAGAGACTGTGGTTAGGGTTTAAAGAGAAAGCATTTACAAAGGATAAAGCTGAAATTAAATGTTGATGTTGAATGCAGATTAAAAAGGAGATGGGGAAATAAGAGGCATTAAGAATGAAAAG